CTCGCACACACCTTGAGCCATCCTACGGTACTCGGCCTCGACACTAGACCTAGACACCACTTTTTGCTTTTACTCCTCCAAGTAACAAGATTACCACCAACAAATGTGAAATACCCAGACGTAGAATGTCTATCAGTGACTGAACCAGCTCAATAAGCATCTGTATACCCTTCCACATCTGTATGACTATACTTGCAAAACATTAAGCCCTTTTCAGGAGTTACTTTCAGATACCTCAAAATGTGCATCACAGCACCCATATGATTTTCACTAGGAGAATGCATAAACTGACTCACTACACTCACTGCATATGCAATATCAGGACGTGTATGAGATAAATAAATCAATTTCCCCACAAGTCGTTGATAACGCTCTTTATCTGTAGGGACTTGATCATGATACAACCCCAACTTATGATTCTGTTCACTAAGGGTATCAATTGGTTTACAATCCAATATTCCAGTCTCTGCAAGTAAATCCAAAATATACTTTTTTTGAGACAGAAAAATACCATGTTTAGATTTGACAACTTCAATCCCAAGAAAGTACTTCAAATCACCCAATGACTACATCTCAAATTCGGAAGCCAGATACTTCTGAAGATTTTGCATTTCTGCTTGATCATCTCCAGTCACAATCATATCATCAACATAAATAATTAAAGCTGTTAATTTACTTTTATGACGCTTTAGAAACAAAGTATGGTCTGAGTTACTCTGCGCATACCCAAATTTCATCATAGATGCTGCAAATCTCCCAAACCACGTTCTTGGAGACTGCTTCAATCCATATAAAAACTTCCGCAGCTTACACACAACACCTTCCTTAGAGGTTACAGGAATACTAGGAGGGAGATCCATGTAAATCTCCTCCTTGAGGTCACCATGTAGAAACACATTTTTAACATCGAATTGTAATAAGGGCCAGTTGCGGTTAGCAGCTAGGGACAATAGTACATGTACAGTATTGAGCTTTGCCACTAGAGCGAAGGTCTCCAAATAATCCACTCTATAGGTCTGAGTATAACATTTTGCTACCAATCTAGCATTGTAACAGTCAATGGAACCATCAACTTTATGCTTCAAAGTAAACACTTATCTGCATGCAACAGCTTTCTTCCATCGTGGCAAAGGAACTAAATCCCATGTTTTATTCTTGTTTAAGGCATTCATTTCAACATTCATGACATCCATCCATTTGGGGTTAGATAAAGCATTCTGCAGCTTAGTTGGCACATATATACTAGATAATTGACACAAATATGATGCATATAACTTAGACAAACGATGAGTTGACACATAATGACTAATGAGATATTTAGACTTAACATGTATATCAGGAGAATATTGTACTTTAGGTTTCTCACGAGTGGCTCATAGGGATAACTACTAAGTTGACACATATAAATCATTAGAAATTACCTCACTTGATTCACTATCACGAGTAGATTGGGGCACTAGCAGGGCAGAATGGGGTATTGCATCGAACTCATCCATACAAGAATCATTGTCATTATTTTCATATACAGGTGACTAGTCACTTACTTCAGTGTGATCGGTTGTTTCGACACCAAGAGCACCTGCTTCATCCCCAGATATGGGCGATCGGTCGAGTTCCAAAGGGTGATAAGTCATTTCTTTACAGAGACCACAAGTTTCATCTTCAGATATGGGCGATCGGTCATTTGCTTCAGTACGACAGGTCGTTTCCTTCCCGAGAGCAATTTCTTCAAACACATCATTCTCCAATCCAAGACTCTCCAATTCACTCCATCTCTCCCCCTAAATTGGAGAGGAGAGAGAGACATAATAGAGCACTTCTTCATGCAAAGTCACGTCCAAAGTAACATGCACCTTCTGGGTAAGTGGATGATAGCACTTATAACCCTTATGAGTAGAAGAAAAACCAATAAAGACACATCGTAGAGCACAAAGATCAAGTTAACTCCGTTGATGAAAGTAGACATGAACATAGGTAACACACCCAAAAATTTTAAGGGGCAACTTGGAGTCTAAGACAGGGGAAACATGGTCACCAAACACATCATGTGGAGTCTTGAAATCAAAAACCCGGCTAGGAGTTCAATTAATCAAATAGGCAGTAGATAAAACAGCATACCCCCAAAAATGATGGGGAACAGACATATCTTATATAAAGGAGCGGACAACTTCAAGTAACTGACGATTCTTGCGTTCAGACACACCATTCTGCTGAGGAGTAAATGGGGTTGTATCCTAGCTTAATTAAGATATTTATTTCCTAATTTATTAGGATTATATTTCTTTCTTTTTGTACAAATATTGTGTAATTAGGATTTTATCTTGTTTCCAAGTTTGACCCTACTAGGGTTACATGCATCCTTATACTATAAGCACCTTCTTTTGAAGAATGAAATGCAACTTGAAAAATATTCTACCCATATTGCTTGATATGGTATCAAAGTGGGTTGATTGACTGGGTTTGAATTGGGCCTTTACCCTTACCCAATATGTGGTGTTCATATTGAATGTTTACCCCTGCCCCTTACCCAATACGTAGTGCTCACATGTTGGGCTTGGTTGATTGATTGACTCCGATGTGGATTTGGCTCCACGTGTGGCCCACTATATGGTGGTCCCACATGAGGGGGCGTGTTGAAGAATATGAGTCCCACATCAGAAACTTGACTAAATAAAATACAAAATATAATAAATGGTTCTACTACTAATAATACTGAAGCCTTTTGTGATAAAGTCCTACACCTATTGAGCTTTGTAGGTGGTTGAGTTGGGGACAATATTGATGTTGTTAGTACTGAGTCGTTGGCCCGTCTCTCTGAAATTTAACAGAACCAACATATTTCTATTGTCTAATAATAACACGAGGTAGGGTAATTTCATCTTTTTAACTTCTTGGACACGAAGTAGGGTCTCTAACTTTTTCCCTATGATTAGACTATATCACTTTTAATCTTGGTGGATATTGTTAGGTGAATATCATCGTTTTGTTTTATGATTGTTTGTTGAGTATTATGTGATGTTGGATGAATATTACTATCCATGTGATTAAATTTGAAATATTATTATTTTTGTTTGAATTATTATCATTTCGCAAAGATTAATAAATGTTTGAGCTGCATTACATATGAATCATAAATACAGTTGTGTTGGGTTTGTGTGTAGTTTAAGGTATATCTAAGGGGTGGGAGAAGGCTTTAGATATATCTGAGTAAGAAAAAAAGGTAAAATATATTCAAGTAACGGAAGCAGGACTTGAATATAATGAGGTGATAGGAGCAGGGCCTCTAATGAAAAGTGAAAGTTGAGAATTTCGTAAACAAAATAAACATGGGGTAAGGGACGGATTGTCACTAGTTTATATTTTATGGTATTCAGAGCCACAGTGGTAAAATACATAGTATGGGACATGCAAGTTTGATGTCTTAAAGTATGAATTAGTGGGTTTAGAATAGAGTGAATTCATGACATCATCGCATATGCATAACACTTTTATCTTGTAATTGTTTAAAGCATGTCACTTTGATTAGCGGTGAAAACTGGCTTTGAGAGGGGGGGATGGGGAATGTTACAGTACTCTACTGGATATTAAAATGCTCACACCCTAATAGATGTTCTAGGTTCCAATGAAAATCCTGAGGGAAGGAGAAGTTCCACCAGAGGACTAGTTCAGTGTCATTAGTCACTGTTTGTAAAATTATTAAGGAATAAATTGTTGGAATATGACTCTAGTGTGTGTAACTAACTTTGAGCTACTGCGACTCTGACTTTGTATTTATTAAATAAGTTTGTAATATTATTGGCTTTATTTCTATCATATCATAGTTATAGGAGATGGTTTATATAACTATGGTATGATTCATGCCTTAATTCGGAGATAATCCCTACTTTCGAATCGGGGCGTGACATTAAAAGAAAGAGAGATATGACATAGGGAGGAGAGAGAGCATGATGAGAGAGAGAGAGAGAGAGAGAGAGAGAGAGAGAGAGAGAGAGAGAGAGTGTAAAGCCTCACTTTTTTTGTTTTTAATAATAGGGTGTTTTTTAATATATTTTTGGGTTTTGGTTTTTAAAATGGGCCTACCAAACAAGTTTTTCGAGCAAATCTGTTTTTGAGTTTATAAAATTGGATCCAAGTAGGATACCAAAAGGGCCATAAGTATTTTTCCGTGTACATTATATTGGCAAGTACTAAAGTTGAAATTACATGCAAGTTAGCTAGACTTGATCTAACCCAACCTCTGGAGGCTTTTGTCCAAATTAATCAAAACTGGTATAATGTTGAATATGAGGGGCTGCCTGATATTTGTTTTATGTGTGGAAAATATGGTCATAAAAGGGAGGCTTGTGATATGAAAGCTGTGAATTTGTGGAGAGTAATGTAGGGGTTTCTGATAAGGGGGGAGTGGATCATATGGCCACTGACTCTGGCACTAAGGATGCTAAGGATATCTTGTGGAGAGTGGGTTAAGTGGTCCATGGATGATTGTTCAACCTAGACGGAATGTCAAGGCTTCTTTTAGAAATGGTAATGGTAAAGGTTATAGTGCTCAGGCTAAGGGGTCCAGATTTGCTGCTCTTCGACAAGTGAATGATGATTTTAGGAGAGCTTAAGCTGGTAGTGATGTGGAGCCAATGCAAAATTATTCCAAACCAGCTAGTTCTTCTGCTCCTGTTGTTGATTTTAGTCCCAAAGTTTGGACTAAATCGCAAAAGTCTAAGAATGTCTCAAGACCTGTTTTGAATGATATTTCTAACCATTCTGTTCACATCCAACGTAAGGGTGGTGAGAGTGGTAGGAAAATTGTTAGTGGTAATAAAACCCCCTTTGGAGGTATGACTATAAAAGAGAGATTTGAGACAAGGGGAGAAAAGGTTAATACCAAGGGTATTGTAAATGATCAGATTACTAGTTGGGTTAATGAGAATGATATATCCAAAGAGAAATAAGTTTATTTCTTTGGACATCAGCCACCCAACATACAGGAAGAGGAAGTGTCTGCGATGGGTAGCTGTGATTCTGATGATGATGATGAGCAACTTCTCTCCTCGATTCTTGGAAGCCAAAATAAAGTTAAACATATGGATTTGTCTAAAGGGTAAGGAAATGTTGCTGAAGAGCAGTTGGCAGATAATACCTTCGACAATGTTGGAGGTATGCCTCTTGGTTGTTAAAGGGTAAAGCCCTCATGTTAAGTTTTTTGCTGTTAACTCATTCATTATGAATTTAGTTTGTTGGAATGTTAGAGGTGTTGCTAGCACAAAATTCAAAAATAATATGATGAAGTTGATTCGTACCCATCATATGGATATTTTATTTTTATGTGAGCCTAGAAATAGTGGTGAGAAGGCTTTGAATATTGCTACCTCTCAAGGGTTTGCTTGTGTTGAAATCGTTGATTCAGTTGGGTTTTCTGGTGGTCTTTGGTTGATGTGGGATGATAGCAGAGTGCATTTGGATATCATTGGGACTTCTGATCAGTCTATTACAGCCTGTGTGTCTTGGAAGGACCAATCTCCTTGGTTGTTAACTGTGATTTATGCTAATTCTAGTGGGTTTAAAAGGGAGAAGCTTTGGGAGTATTTGGATTTTGTTGCTACCTGTCATCAATTGCCTTGGTTACTAGCTGGTGATTTCAATGAAATGCTAGGGGTTGATGATAAGTTGGGAGGTGCTTCTGTGAATAGGTTGAAAGGGTTTAAAAGGTGGTTTGATGATAATAATATGATGGACTTGGGTTTTTATGGGGCTAAGTTTACTTGGAGAAACAATAAAGTTTTTGAGAAGCTTGATCATGCTATCTTTAACATGAAGTAGAGACACTTGTTTCCTGAGGGTCATGTTAGGCATTTGCCTCGTACCCCTTCTGATCATAATCCTATCAAGGTTTCTTTGCAGTCTAATTTTTGTACTTCTCCCTCTCTTAGGCCTTTTAGATTCGAGGCAATATGGCTGAAGCATGAACACTTCAATGATTTAATTGCTGCTGTTTGGGGGAGTTCTGGCTCTGCTATACATAAGACTTTGAATTTGATTGAACCTTTAAAAAATTGGAATTCTACTGTCTTTGGTCACTTAAGACAAAAGAAGGCTAGACTTTTGGCTCATCTTGATGGGATTCAGAGGGCTTTATGTCGGGGTCCTAATCTTTTCCTTAAGCAGCTAGAGATTTCTCTTATGGATGATTTTAATGAAGTCCTAGACCATGAAGCGTTGTTTTGGAAGCAGAAATCTATGATTAATTGGTTGCAAGGGGGTGACAGAAACACTAAATTTTTCCATCTCACTACTGTGATTAGAAGTAGGAGGAATAAAATCGAGCGGCTTAAAAATAGTAATGGCTTGCTTGTTAAGGAGGCTGCAGGCATGAAGGCTCTTGCAATGGAGTATTTCTCGGGTCAGTTCAACCAAGTGCAGGTGGTTGTCCCTAACATGGTCCTCCCTAATTTGTTTCCTAGTATTAGCAATGATGATTTGGCTTTGTTGGGTAAGAATATTGAATTGGATGATCTTAAATAGAGCCTTTTTAATATTGGAGGTCTTAAAGCACCTGGTATTGATGGTTTTCTAGCCTGTTTTTACTAAAGTCAATGGGATCATTGTGCTTCTGACATTTATGCTATGGTGATCAAAGCTTTTATTGAGTGCAAGGTTCCTGAGAAATTAAATTACACCGTTATTACTTTGGTGCCTAAAGTTACAAATCCTTAGACTATGGTTCAGTTCAGGCTAATTAGTCTTTGTTCAACTCTCTATAAAGTCATTTCCAAAATTATTGTTGCAAGGTTGAGACCTATCTTGCCTTGCCTCATTAGCCCAAAACCAGGTTAGTTTCGTCCGTGGTAGAGCTTATGCATAAATTCAAGCTTTCTAAACGAAGGAAGAGGTTTGTGGCTTGGAAGATTGATCTCTCTAAAGCTTATGACAGACTTAATTGGAATTTTGTTGAGTGTGTTTTTACTGGAAGTGGGCCTTCCTACAATTGTTATTCAACTGATTATGCATTGTGCCTCCATGGTGAGGTACCAGATCTGCATTAATGGTGAGTTAACTGATTCTTTTATGCCTAAGAATGGTATTAGACAAGGTGATCCTCTCTCACCTTACCTCTTTGTCTTGTGTGTAGAAAAGTTATCTCACCTTATTTTTGACTCTGTTCAAAAATGGATTTGGAAACCTGTTAAATCCTCCCAGAGTGGTCGAGCTGTTTCTCATCTGTTTTTTTTCAGATGATCATATCCTTTTTACTGAAGCTAGCTCTAAACAAGAGCATGTTATGAAGAATTGTTTAGAGATTTTCTGTTAGGCTTCTGGGCAAGTTGTTAGCTATGATAAGTCTGCTATTTTATGTTCTCCTAATACCCCTAAGGCAATTGCTAAGGAGATTAGCTTTATATGTGGTTCTCCTATTGTTGCAAGTCTTGGGAATTATCTTGGTGTGCCTCTTTTACATTCACGACCAACTTATACTACTTATAATGGGTTGATTGATCGAGTGACCAATCGTTTGGCTTTTTAGAAAAGAAAGTTGTTATCTATTGCTGGTAGGGCTACTCTTGTTCAAGCTGTGACCTTTTCCATTCCCATTTATGCTAGTGTTTGTGAGCATCTAGATCGCTTGAATCGTAATTTTTTTTGGGGAGGCAGGGAGTAGAAAAATAAAGTCCATCTTTGCCAATGGGATTTGGTATGTAGGCTTAAATGTAAGAGGGGAATGGCGTTCAAAAAAACTGCTGCAATGAACCAAGCGTTGTTATCTAAAATTGGGTGGAGGGTTTAGAATAAAGACAATGGTTTATGGGCTAAGATTTTTAAGGCTAAGTACTTAAAAGGTGCCTCTATTTTGGATTCTCCTAACTCTGCCAAGAAGTCTAGTTCTCACACTTGGAAAGGTATTGCTCATGGTGTGGAGTTGCTTTTGAAAGGTATGAGGTGGATGATTGGTTCGGGTGATCAAGTAAAATTTTGGAAGGATAACTAGTGTAGTGACATACCCTTGCTGCATTAGGATGGTGTTTTGAATGTTTGTGATGCTAACTGCGTGGTCTCGAGCTTTTTTCTTCATAATTGGTGGGATATATCCAAGTTAAGAGAAGCTCTTTCAGAGGATTTAGTTCAACAAATTGTGAGTATTCCTGTGGGTGTTCATGGGTCTTCATTTGATACTCAAATTTGGCACGCTTCTTCTAATGGTGTTTTCTCTGTTAAGACTGCTTATAAGTTGTTCTTTGCTGGTCTTTCTTGGCCTGAGTCTAGCTAGGCTTTCCTTTGGAAGTTGAAAATTCCTCCCAAGTTGCAAATCTTTTTTTGGCTTGCGTCCCAAAGTAAAATCTTGTCCAATGAATATAGAGTTAGGCATCAGCTGGCTATTGATTCTTCTTGTAGGTTATGTGATTGGCCTGTGGAATCTGTGTTGCATATTTTCCGTGATTGTGAAAGGGCCCAAAGTGTTTGGCATGCTCTTTCTATTCCTAGATTTGCTCCCCATTTTTTTAAGCAGGATTTCATACCTTGGCTTAAAGTTAATCTGCTTTCTAAAGCTAAATGGGGTGGTGGTCTGCCTTGGTCAGTTGTGTTTGTTTTTACTTGTTGGTACTTGTGGAAATGGAGGAATATGCATATTTTTCTCCCTCTTGATGAGTCCGTTGCTGACCCTATTAAGACTATCTTAATGGCTGTGAGAGATTGGGTCAAGGCTTCTCAGGCGGGTGTTAAGATGAGTCCTAAAGCTCAACTTTTACTCAGTTAGGAGCCTCCTGGTTTAGATATGTTTAAACTGAATGTGGATGATTCTAGGAGAGCGGCCTCAGGTTATATTGGTGCTGGCGGAGTGATCTGTGGGGCTAATGGCAATTTGATCTGTCGTTTTCTGTGAATCTAGGCAAGGGGCAGATCCTTAAGGCTGAGCTTTGGGGCTTGTATTTTGGGCTGCATTTGGCTTGTGATAAAGGTATCTCTAATCTTCTTATTGAGATGGATGTTGCAGTTGTTGTTTCCCTTGTTCAGCAAGTTGGTACCTTGAGTTGTCATCATTTTGCTGCGTTAATTTAGAGCTGTTATGTTCTTATGAGGCGTATTGGCAACTGTCACCTTGCTCATGTTTATAGAGAAATAAATGTTGTAGCTGATCATATGGCTAACTAGAGCTTTAACTTGGATTTAGGGGGTTAGCTATTTGGATGAGGCCCATGCTTAGGTTAGCTCTTTTTTGGAGGATGATTTTTTAGGAGTTGTTAGGCCTCGCTTGATCTGTACTAGTTAGTAGTTGTTTCTTTTTGGGGTTTGTCCCCCCTATTTCATAAAAAAAAATTACATGCAAGTTTAACGTAATATCATTGTTACTTTTTTTTTTTGTGGGGAGAAATTCTATGATTGCAATCATAATTCAGCCAAAAAAAGCCACTAACCATAAATGGTCAATACAAACTAGCCACAAAAGGGCCATTACAATAACGGAGCGGTCTAACATCAAAATTAAGACAATCTAGTGGGCCTCCACTAACAATCATGCAGGATCGAAGAAACTCTGGCATAGACATTCCAACTAAGATTGTAAACTTAGAATAATAAAAAATAGATAAAACTTAAATAAATAAATTAAGCCATAACAATACAAATAAAACTCTCACAAAGGATAGATGAAAAGCTCTCACAAAGGAAAGATGAAAAACTCTCACAAAGGAGATGTGAAAGTTCTCACAAAAGGATATGTGAAAACTACACAGAGAACCCAAAGAGTCTGTGCAACTTATTCCAAACATAAAGAAACCGCAAAAAAGATGGTGGTGGAGATCTGATGCCAAAACGCAGGTGGATATCCAATACTGAAACGCAGCCATCTGTGATGGTTGGATGAAAATCATAACAAAACGAAGACAAATAGAGAAAACCATTTGTATTTGAAAATGGGGGAAGAGGTGAAGGAAAGGGCACATGAAATAATAAAATTCTTATTGTTAGATATATCTACTAATAACACAATAAACAAACGCATGTAAGGTTGAACATGAAAGAAAATGATAGAAACCTCTATATTACTGATACGTAAATATAATGGGAATGGGAGTTAATGGAATGATTTACATTCCTAACTTTTCCCGCGTTTACTTGCAATTAAGAATGGAAAAAATACGTGGGCCCCACCTCAAAATCTGTAATCACATCTCCTCAAAACCAAGAATCATATCAACTAGGGGGAATAGTTGCAAACTTAGAATAATAAAAAAGAGATAAATCTTTAAAAATAAAAAATAAATAAAGCCATAACAATACAAATAAAACTATCACAAAGGAGGGATGAAAAGCTCCCCTCATAAAAATGAGAGGTGAAAACTACATAGAGAACCCAAAAGGACTCTGCAACTTATTCCAAACATAAAGAAACCGCAAAAAAGATGGTGGTGGAGATCCGACGCCGAGACGCAACCATCTGTGATTGTTGGATGAAACAACAAAAAGAAGACAAATAGGGAAAACCATTTGTCTATGAAAATGGGGGAATAGGTGAAGGGAGGAAGAGAATAGGGGAGAGGGGAGGAAGAACTCCCTGCTGAGGTGTTGTACTACCGATAGCTTTTAAGGGGCAAAGAAGCTTGGCTTCCTCCACCCACAAAGTGAAAACAGCTCTATGAGTGTTTTGGAGAAAGGGCACATGGAATAATAAAATTCTTATCGTTAGATATATCTACTAATAACACAATAAACAGACGCATGTAAGGTTGAACATGGAAGAAAATGATAGAAACCTCTATATTACTGATACGTAAATATAATGGGCATGAGAGGAAATAGAATGATTTCCATTCTTGACTTTTCCCATGTTTATTTGCAATTAGGAATGAACAAAATATGTGGCCCCACCTCAAAATATATAATCACATCTCCTCAAAACCAAGAATCATATCAACTAGGGGGAGTAGTTGATCTAATTTTCATTCCTTTTTTCCCTTACTAAATTCCAAAAATACACTTACCACTTTATGATAATTCTAAAACACCCCAAAGCATTAAAAAAATTCAATAATTATTTATTAATCACCGTGGTTGCTAACCTCTGCTTGTCTTGTTATGCATCTTATCACTATGTCATTTTTTTTTTCCTATTGTATTCCTTATATTATTATATACTAATTTTTTCATCACTCGACACATAGTATATTATATTATACATTAGTTATAAAATAAAGTTTTGTCAATTTTCTTTTTTAGAAATTACCCAGGTGAAAAATATATATTTATATGTACATGACATTTTAGTAATTAAATTAGTTTAGGTTATAATTCATGAGGATTAGTAAACAATAACAATGAGATTCAACTCCATGCTGATTCCATATGGTTAGTAAACAACTCAATTGAAATTATTCTTCCCATACCGATTCATTACTTCCCTGATTCCTAAATTTCTCGATTTCTTATTTTCTCAATTATTGATAAGTAAACGGCTTCTAAGGAGTTTCATGAAAAAACAAGTTGGACCGAAGTTAATAAAAATGAAATGAAATGAAGTATTAATATCATGATGAATTTGGGTTTCATTGGATCCCATCTCTTTGTTTTCTTTTTGAACCTCCTCATGTGATTTTGGAGCCTATTTACATAAAAAATTTCACTTCTCTATAAAAATTTGGGCCCTTCAATGCAAGGCTCGGAGCAATGGCCCTTTAACCTTTTTTAAGGTTGGACCTAAAATACACACTAGTTGGGCGGGAGGAGCCAGTGTCTAAAACTTCCATGCTAAACTTGTTTTCCATATTAATCCATTTTTTTCTTTTTCTTTTTTAAAGTTGCAGCATTAATGAATTTGGTGGAAGAAAGTCTTAGGATATATTGAGCAAGTTCATCTAAAGTTGTGGATTTTACGGAAGGAGTTTGTAATTCAAGTGGCTAAAAATATTTACCTATGCATCCGAAGTTCTAGGTTTTGATTCTCCCTTCCCTAATATCATTTGTATAAAATATAAAAAATTAAGTTGTGCATTTTCTATTGCCCTTAGCCCAACTTTTTTTTTTCCCTCTGTGCCCTTAGCCTAATTAAGAGGGCCCATTTTAATTCTGGTTCTCCACCTTTTGATCCATCAAGGTTCATCAAAGTGCAATTTAATGCAAAATGTATTTAAGCAAGAGTGTTGTTAAACAAACTTTAAAATTCA